AAATGTCCTGACTCGTTATTCCACCACAGCTATATTCCAAGCCCAGTCAACCCTCTCCAAGGTATACGGCTATCCCCCAGAGTGCCATCCACACTGATGCTCGATCCTGGCGCTAGAGGAAAATCTAGGCATGTATCCCTGTTCACCTAGCATTAAGTAGGTACATAGTTGTTGGACAACAGTTGTGAGTGGCATACCAGGGAGGGAGTTAGTATACCTTAGATAGCGATATAAAAATGGTTATAATTATAATCTTAATTTTAAAAGAGGTGGAGGGGTAAGTCAGCAGAAGGCCTCAGTCAAGTGACCAAAAACTCTTAGTCATCATATGACTAAGACCCGCGTCAGGAAACACTTGTCCCGCTTCCTGACAAATCTAACCTAACCTAGATAGGGAAGGACTCTAAAATGAGGTTAAGTAATATTGTAGATGAATGGTTCGCAGAACCGACACATTGATAAATTAGACACATGTGCAACTCTTGGGTATCTTTATTAAGGAAACAGTGGCTTCATTCATCTACAATCCTGTCAGGCACTGCAACTTCTTGGGATCTTAATACTTGGGAATTCTTCGCTTGCCTAACCCTTGGGCACGACCTACTTCCACATTGGGCAAATGTGACACCACCTACGACTGCTGCCCCTCTCCTACCTACGGTTTATAAGCTGTTTCTCCGCGCATATGCCGTATTCTATTCAAGATTGATGGACTGACCACATCGACGCAAGGTTGAGGGACTGATTACCTCATTCTTCTCCTGTTCTTCAAGCTTCTCCTGTGTATGGACTGATGAAGCCACTGTGTGGCGAAACGTTTCCTTAATAAAGATACCCAAGAGTTGCTCATATGTCTAATTTATCAGGTTAAGTAATATAATAGATGTTAGCTAATAAATTCACCTGGACGTAGGAAAAGTAATAACTGCTGGTGAAGAGCTCTTGATTTCAGGAATAGGAGCTATTTTCTCTTTCCTCGAATCAAGCATAATTATCAGACATTCCCATTGTTCACTATAACCCTCGCGGGTTTAGGGCTTACCATTGATTATAAAAAAATAATGCTTATCGACAAATGTAATCGGAAATTCAATACATCCAGTAATAATTCCATTAATAAATAATTATTTTTATTAATTGGAAAGGGAAGTATGGCAATAAGTAAATAATGTTTAATTATGTGATAACGATAATTTACTGGCAACACTGACAGGTGTTGATGCTTTATGTAACACTGACAGGTGTTGCAATATCAGGTAATACTGAGCGGTGTTACATGTAATACTGATAGGTATTGCCCCTTGTAATACTGACAGGTGTTGCCACATGAAATACTGACAGATGTTTCCCCATGCAATACTGACAGATGTTGCCACATGTAAAGCTCACAGGTGTTGCCATATGTAAAGCTCACAGGTGTTGCCACATGTAAAGCTCACAGGTGTTGCCACATGTAATGCTGACAAGTGTTGTTCCCCTCAAGTAATACCGACAGGTACTGACCCATCAATTAATACTGATAGATGTTGTCACTATGGGTAATATTGACAGGTGTTGTAACTACGGCTATTATTGACAGGTGTTGTCACTATGGATAATGTTGACAGGTGTTGTCACTACGGGTATTATTGATAGATGTTGTCACTACGGGTAATATTGACAGGTGTTGTCACTACGGGTATTACTGACAGGTGTTGTCACTATGGGTATTATTGACAGGTGTTGTCACTACGGGTATTATTGACAGGTGTTGTCACTACGGGTATTACTGACAGGTGTTGTCACTATGGGTATTATTGACAGGTGTTGTCACTACGGGTATTATTGACAGGTGTTGTCACTACGGGTATTATTGACAGGTGTTGTCACTACGGGTATTATTGACTGGTGTTGGCAAAAATATGCATCATTCGGTATCTGTCCAATTACATTAAAATACTGAATATGTAATCCATGTGTCACTTGAAAATTATATTTATCGATTGTTACCCAGTGTTTCAGCACCCATTGTTTCAGCACCCATTGTTTCAGCACCCATTGTTTCAACACCCATTGTTTCAGCACCCATTGTTTCAGCACCCATTGTTTCAACACCCATTGTTTCAGCACCCATTGTTTCAGCACCCATTGTTTCAACACCCAGTGTTTCAGCACCCATTGTTTCAACACCCATTGTTTCAGCACCCATTGTTTCAGCACCCATTGTTTTAACACCCTTTGTTTCAACACCCTTTGGGTTTTCAGCACCCATTGTTTCAGCACCCATGTTTCAGCACCCTTTGTTTCAACACCCATTTTTCAGCACCCATTGTTTCAACAACCTTTTGTTTCAGCACCCATTGTTTCAGCACCCAGTGTTTCAGCACCCATTGTTTCAGCACCCATTGTTTCAGCACCCATTGTTTCAACACCCATTGTTTCAGCACCCATTGTTTCAGCACCCATTGTTTCAACACCCAGTGTTTCAGCACCCATTGTTTCAGCACCCAGTGTTTCAGCACCCATTGTTTCAACACCCATTGTTTCAGCACCCAGTGTTTCAGCACCCATTGTTTCAACACCCGTTGTTTCAACACCCAGCGTTTCAGCACCCATTGTTTCAACACCCATTGTTTCAGCACCCAGTGTTTCAGCACCCAGTGTTTAAGCACCCATTGTTTCAACACCCGTTCTTTCAACACCCAGTGTTTTAGCACCCAGTGTTTCAGCACCCATTGTTTCAACACCCATTGTTTCAACACCCGTTGTTTCAACACCCAGTGTTTCAGCACCCATTGTTTCAGCACCCATTGTTTCAGCACCCAGTGTTTCAGCACCCAGTGTTTCAGCACCCATTGTTTCAACACCCGTTGTTTCAACACCCATTGTTTCAACACCCATTGTTTCAGCCCCCATTGTTTCAGCACCCATGTTTCGCACCCTTTGGGTTTCAGCACCCATTGTTTCAGCACCCAGTGTTTCAGCACCCAGTGTTTCAGCACCCATTGTTTCAACACCCGTTGTTTCAGCACCCAGTGTTTCAGCACCCATTGTTTCAACCCCGTTGTTTCAACCCCCCGTGTTTCAGCACCCATTGTTTCAACACCATTGTTTCAGGACCCATTGTTTCAACACGTTGTTTCAACACCCAGTATTTTAGCACCCCAGTGCTTCAGCACCCATTGTTTCAGCACCCATTGTTTCAACACCCATTGTTTCAACACCCATTGTTTCAGCACCCAGTGTTTCAGCACCCATTGTTTCAGCACCCAGTGTTTCAGTACCCATTGTTTCAGCAACCATTGTTTCAGCACCCAGTGTTTCAGCACCCATTGTTTCAGCACCCAGTGTTTCAGCACCCATTGTTTCAGCGCCCATTGTTTCAGCACCCAGTGTTTCAGCACCCAGTGTTTCAGTACCCATTGTTTCAGCATCCAGTGTTTCAGCACCCAGTGTTTCAGCACCCATTGTTTCAGCACCCATTGTTTCAACACCCATTGTTTCAACACCCATTATTTCAGCACCCATTGCTTAAGCACCCATTGTTTCAACACCCATTGTTTCAGCACCCATTGTTTCAACACCCATTATTTCAGCACCCATTGTTTCAATACCCATGTTTCAACACCCATTGTTTCAACACCCATTGTTTCAGCACCCATTGTTTCAACACCCATTGTTTCAGCACCCATTGTTTCAACACCCATGTTTCAACACCCATTGTTTCAAAACCCATTGTTTCAACACCCATTGTTTTAGCACCCATTGTTTCAGCACCCATTGTTTGAACGCCCATTGTTTCAACGCCCATTGTTTCAACACTATTGTTTCAGCAACCATTGTTTCAACACCCATTGTTGTTTCATCACCCATTGTTTCAACACCCATTGTTTCAACACCCATTGTTTCAACACCCATTGTTTCAACACACATTGTTTCAACACCCATTGTTTCAACACACATTGTTTCAACAGACATTGTTTCAACACCCATTGTTTCAACACACATTGTTTCAACACACATTGTTTCAACACCCATTGTTTCAACACCCATTGTTTCAGCACCCATTGTTTCAGCACCCATTGTTTCAACACCCAGTGTTTCAGCACCCATTGTTTCAGCACCCAGTGTTTCAGCACCCATTGTTTCAACACCCATTGTTTCAGCACCCAGTGTTTCAGCACCCATTGTTTCAACACCCGTTGTTTCAACACCAGCGTTTCAGCACCCATTGTTTCAACACCCATTGTTTCAGCACCCAGTTTTTTCAGCACCCAGGGTTTAAGCACCCATTGTTTCAACACCCGTTCTTTCAACACCCAGTGTTTTAGCACCCAGTGTTTCAGCACCCATTGTTTCAACACCCATTGTTTCAACACCCGTTGTTTCAACACCCAGTGTTTCAGCACCCATTGTTTCAGCACCCATTGTTTCAGCACCCAGTGTTTCAGCACCCAGTGTTTCAGCACCCATTGTTTCAACACCCGTTGTTTCAACACCCATTGTTTCAACACCCATTGTTTCAGCACCCATTGTTTCAGCACCCAGTGTTTCAGCACCCATTGTTTCAGCACCCATTGTTTCAGCACCCATTGTTTCAGCACCCAGTGTTTCAGCACCCATTGTTTCAACACCCGTTGTTTCAGCACCCAGTGTTTCAGCACCCATTGTTTCAACACCCGTTGTTTCAACACCCAGTGTTTCAGCACCCATTGTTTCAACACCCATTGTTTCAGGACCCATTGTTTCAACACCCGTTGTTTCAACACCCAGTATTTTAGCACCCAGTGCTTCAGCACCCATTGTTTCAGCACCCATTGTTTCAACACCCATTGTTTCAACACCCATTGTTTCAGCACCCAGTGTTTCAGCACCCATTGTTTCAGCACCCAGTGTTTCAGTACCCATTGTTTCAGCAACCATTGTTTCAGCACCCAGTGTTTCAGCACCCATTGTTTCAGCACCCAGTGTTTCAGCACCCATTGTTTTCAGCCCCCATTGTTCAGCCCCCAGGTTTCAGCACCATTGTTTCAGTACCCATTGTTTCAGCATCCAGTGTTTCAGCACCCAGTGTTTCAGCACCCATTGTTTCAGCACCCATTGTTTCAACACCCATTGTTTCAACACCCATTATTTCAGCACCCATTGCTTAAGCACCCATTGTTTCAACACCCATTGTTTCAGCACCCATTGTTTCAACACCCATTATTTCAGCACCCATTGTTTCAATACCCATGTTTCAACACCCATTGTTTCAACACCCATTGTTTCAGCACCCATTGTTTTAGCACCCATTGTTTCAGCACCCATTGTTTCAACACCCATGTTTCAACACCCATTGTTTCAACACCCATTGTTTCAACACCCATTGTTTTAGCACCCATTGTTTCAGCACCCATTGTTTGAACGCCCATTGTTTCAACGCCCATTGTTTCAACACTCTTTGTTTCAGCAACCATTGTTTCAACACCCATTGTTGTTTCATCACCCATTGTTTCAACACCCATTGTTTCAACACCCATTGTTTCAACACCCATTGTTTCAACACACATTGTTTCAACACCCATTGTTTCAACACACATTGTTTCAACAGACATTGTTTCAACACCCATTGTTTCAACACACATTGTTTCAACACACATTGTTTCAACACCCATTGTTTCAACACCCATTGTTTCAACACACATTGTTTCAACACACATTGTTTCAACACTCATTGTTTCAACACCCATTGTTTCAACACCACATTGTTTCAAACCCCACATTGTTTCAACACACATTGTTTCAACACCCATTGTTTCAACACACATTGTTTTAACACACATTGTTTCAACACACATTGTTTCAACACACATTGTTTCAACACCCATTGTTTCAACACACATTGTTTCAACACACATTGTTTCAACACCCATTGTTTCAACACCCATTGTTTCAACACACATTGTTTCAACACACATTGTTTCAACACCCATTGTTTCAACACCCAGTGTTCAGCCCCCAGTGTTTCAGTACCCATTGTTTCAGCATCCAGTGTTTCAGCACCCAGTTTTTCAGCACCCATTGTTTCAGCACCCATTGTTTCAACACCCATTGTTTCAACACCCATTATTTCAGCACCCATTGCTTAAGCACCTATTGTTTCAACACCCATTGTTTCAGCACCCATTGTTTCAACACCCATTATTTCAGCACCCATTGTTTCAATACCCATGTTTCAACACCCATTGTTTCAACACCCATTGTTTCAGCACCCATTGTTTCAACCCCCATTGTTTCAGCACCATTGTTTCAACACCCATGTTTCAACAACCCATTGTTTCAAACCCATTTTTTTCAACACCCTTTTTTTTTAGCACCCATTGTTTCAGCACCCATTGTTGAACGCCCATTTTTTCAACGCCCATTGTTTCAACACTCTTTGTTTCGAAAACCATTGTTTCAACACCCATTGTTTGTTTCACCCATTGTTTCAACACCCATTGTTTCAACACCCATTGTTTCAACACCCATTGTTTCAACACACATTGTTTCAACACCCATTGTTTCAACACACATTGTTTTCAACAGACATTGTTTCAACACCCATTGTTTCAACACACATTGTTTCAAACACACATTGTTTCAACACCCATTGTTTCAACACCCATTGTTTCAACACACATTGTTTCAACACACATTGTTTCAACACCCATTGTTTCAACACCCATTGTTTCAACACACATTGTTCAACAAAATTGTTTCAACACACATTGTTTCAACACCCATTGTTTCAACACACATTTTTTTAACACACTTTGTTTCAAACACATTGTTTCAACACACATTGTTTCAACACCCATTGTTTCAAACCCACATTGTTTCAACACACATTGTTTCAACATTTAAATTGTTTCAACACCCATTGTTTCAACACACATTGTTTTTCAATCAAAACATTGTTTCAACACCCATTGTTTCAACACCCATTGTTTCAACACACATTGTTTTAAAACCCATTGTTTCAACACACATTGTTTCAACACCCATTGTTTCAACAAACATTGTTTCAACACACATTGTTTCAACACCCATTGTTTCAACTCCCATTGTCTCAAACACCCATTGTTTTCAACACCCATTGTTTCAACACACATGTTTCAAAACCAATTTTCAACACCCATTGTTTCAAACACCCATTGTTCAACACCATTGTTCAACACCCATTTTTCAACACCCATTGTTTCAACACCCATTGTTTAAACACACATTGTTTCAAAAACCATTGTTTCAACACCCATTGTTTCAACACCCATTGTTTCAACACCCATTGTTTCAAAAACCCATTGTTTCAACACCCATTGTTTCAAACACCCATTGTTTCAACACCCATTGTTTCAACACACATTGTTTCAACACACATTGTTTCAACACCCATTGTTTCAACACCCATTGTTTCAACACCCATTGTTTCAACAAACATTGTTTCAACACACATTGTTTCAACACCCATTGTTTCAACACCCATTGTTTCAACACTTTGTTCAACACACTTTGTTTCAACCCCATTGTTTCAAAAACCCATTGTTTCAACACCCATTGTTTCAACACCCATTGTTTCAACACCCATTGTTTCAACACACATTGTTTCAACACACATTGTTTCAACACACATTGTTTCAACACCCATTTTCAACACACATTGTTTAAAACACACATTTTTCCCAACACCATTGTTTCACACACATTGTTTCAACAAACATTGTGTCAGCACACATTGTTTTAACACCCATTGTTTCAACACACATTGTTTCAACACACATTGTTTCAACACCCATTGTTTCAACACCCATTGTTTCAACACCCATTGTTTTAACAAACATTGTGTCAGCACACATTGTTTTAACACCCATTGTTTCAACACACATTGTTTCAACACACATTGTTTCAACACCCATTGTTTCAACACCCATTGTTTCAACACCCATTGTTTTAGCACCCATTGTTTCAACACCCATTGTTTTAGCACCCATTGTTTCAACACCCATTGTTTCAACACCCATTGTTTCAGCACCCATTGTTTTAGCACCCATTGTTTCAACACACATTTTTTTCAGAAACCATTGTTTCAACACCCATTGTTTCAGCACCCATTGTTTTAGCCCCCAAATTGTTTCAAAAACACTTTGTTTCAGCACCCATTGTTTTAGTACATTGGTTTCAACACCCATTGTTTAAAACACCCATTGTTTCAGCACCCATTGTTTTAGCACCCTTTGTTTCAACACCCATTGTTTCAGCACCCATTGTTTTAGCACCCATTGTTTCAACACCCATTGTTTCAACACCCATTGTTTCAACACCCATTGTTTCAACACCCATTGTTTTAGCACCCATTGTTTCAACACCCATTGTTTTAGCACCCATTGTTTCAACACCCATTGTTTCAACACACATTGTTTCAACACCTATTGTTTCAACACACATTGTTTCAACACACATTGTTTCAACACACATTGTTTCAACACCATTGTTTCAACACACATGTTTC